TCAATAATTTTTAATCGATATATATCGATTAACTGCTATATATCGATATATATCTGCTTAAAAATTTTGCTAATGATGGGGAGTTAGTCATTCAAGTGATACTACTGTTGCATCTAACAACACAGCATATGATAGATTTATATTCGAGATAAACAAATAAAAAACAAATAGATTGGAGATGTCAGAGTATGGAAATATGACGATTTTTGGAAAAATATGCACGATAAAGCTTTGATCACGAAATTCGCAAAGAGTGTCTCAGACCATTATCCTATTGAGTTCAAATTGAAATTAAAATAAGTATTATTCTTACGATTTATTGAATTTTTTTTCATTTAGTAGTCTATTCAGTGATCGTAAAAAAAAATAAGAGACAAAAGAATTTATTTTTATTTAATAAAATTTAATCCGATTTTCATAAACTCATACATCTGCTATTGCTATATATCAAGATCTAATGACCATATGCCCTGAAATAATGTGATGCTGACTTTATTATAAAAGAAAAATTTTTTTATATAATGTGCACCTAAAGTTAATTTTTTTCTGAAAGCTAACAACAATATCTGTATTCATAATAATAATATTATATCACATGTCACTTATCCCAAAACTGATATTTTGCAGTTCTAAATGACTTAAGAAATCTTTCTATTTTTGTGATGACGAAATTTTTTCAACATACGCGTATTATTCTTAATTATTGTCACAGTCAGAGGAAATTTTAATTTGAGTAATTTCTCGTATTCACTTCTATTTTCTTTATTAGCATAAATATTAAAATACTTTATAATCATATTAGCAACTCCTCGATTGTACTCTTGCTGAAGTAACGGCGTTACTCTTTCAAAAATGTAATAGCCTTCTTTAAAAAGAAAATTTTGGACTAATTTATTTACCTTGCTATTATGATTTCTAAAATAACTGCTATGTATATTAAGGTTACTTTTTAGAATTCTTAAATCATTTTTGATATTTTTTTGTTCAATTGATTTACAAAATTTTCTTCGCAACTTGTCTGCTAATTTAACGATCATATCAAGACACTCATAATCGATATTACAATTTTTCTCTAGAGCTAAGAACATATTTTAGTGTTCTCAACGTTTACTATAGCTGAATCAAGCGGAATCATTAATAATATTTTCGGTATTGTTCAAATTACTTGATGCTAAAAATAGCAAAAGAATCTAATTAAATTATTAATTTATAGATTTATGTGTTTATTTTAATTATTTAATTAGATGAATTCATTATATAATTAGAGTATTTACACAGAGATTTATTAAATTTAAAAAATTTAAATACTCCAGAATTCTTTTATACACATGTTTAAAATCAATTTGGGAATCTTGTTAATAATTAAGTCTATTAATAAGTTTACTTTAAGTCTCTTCGCTGAATTGTATATTTTATAATATCAATAATTACAATTAGAGCCTCCTATTTTTAGATCCCTACTTCTCAAAATTTAACAGTTGATTTTGAATGCATAAGTTTATATAAGTCGATCCTGTCAAAACTAATAAACTGTCAAAACTGATAAAAAATCAGTTTGAGCCAGATTTAGAAAAGCTATTAGTAAAATTTTCTCCTTGAAATTTTTTATTTATCACCATTTTTTGTATTTTCGCATGTTCTTTTGCTTGCTTCGGGTAGAATTTGGGTTAGTTAAAAATTTCATTGGTCATCTTCAAAAATTCACTTGAGTACTTCAAAGTCAAAACATAAATATAGAGACTTAATTATTCAATTCTACTAGATGTTTCAGCCTTTTTGAAGTTGCTACTAAAAACAAAGCTCTTGATATCGCACTCAGTATTATTTATAATAATATCCTGATCCATTGGTACTTAGCATGTATGGGTTGAAATTACGTTATAGTTGTGGTGTAACTATCATGATGTTGCTAAAGATGATGCTTAGTACGCATATTAGAATGCATTTTGTTCTTTGTATTATATAATAAATAATTGAGTATACCAAATATCAGTTTAGAGTGAATTTCTCAAAATCTTTTTTTGAAATGATGATTCAGTTCATATTGAATTGCTGTTAATTAATGAAATTTTGATGCCTAAGTTTTATATGAGCAGCATAAATTCCTTTTTTTAACAATACAAATTATATTCAATAGACAAAATATAGTTGAACCTCTGTTATAGTGTTAGAAAAAAATATTTTTAATTAGGACACAATTGACCACGTTATAAAGTCACATTGTGATTTTATTCAATGAATGAGGAAGTTTTAAAAGTGGGCTGGACAATTGGTATAAAGAACGTCTATAAGTCCTACCATGGGCCCAGACTTATATCATATATTTAAGGAGTGCTGCATTTAGGGAGGGTGCATTCGGGGAGGTCTGACTGTATATTAAGTTTAAGAGTAGAGTATACATAGATCATTTATCATATGATCTGCATGGCAATTTTTTTTTGTATAACAAATTACAT